ACTGACAAGTGCTTCTCTCGCGAAAGGCTTCTCTCTCTCTGCTGTAAAAGATTCGACAGTGATTTTTCCACCAATGGTTCTTCTATGCTGAGTGGAATTACCGATTCAACGTTTCCACTCATGTTTTTTTGTCGATCGTAGTCTTCGCAACTTTACATCATTTTTGGGGTGTTACAGCACTTTTCAACAGTTGTTTGAACATTTTCTTAATGTTTTTCTTTATTTTTAAGTAAAGAAATAAGTAATCTCGTACTTGGGTCGTTAATTGAGAATCGATTAAGTTAGGAAGCCGGTGATTTATTCGAATTTAGTCTCTGCTATAGTCTATACAGAGGCTAGTGTCTTCGAGGTTACAAGTTTGAGTAGCTTGGAACGCGTATTTTTACAATTTTATCTTTTTTTTCTTAAATTTCAAAATTAATTTTCGTCATTTTGTGAGCCTTCTAATTTTCTATAGTCTGCACTTAGGTATGCTTGGAAAGCTTATAAGCGAGATCAAGATAATTAGTGTTTTATTTAAAACACACTTCTTATTTTACAATTTTATCAGTTTTTTTAAATTTCAAAATTAATTTTCGTCATTTTGCGAGCCTTCTAATTTTCTATAGTCTGGCCTTAACAGTTCATCGTTAAATAAATAAGTGAATAAATAATGTCATACATGGGTAGTTAATCAAGAATCGATTAAATTACGAAACAGTAGTTCGTTTAAATTTAACGCTACTGCTTAAAGCCACGAATTTGAGTACGCATGAAAAGCTTCTATATGAGACCAAGCTAATTAATACGTTTCTCTGAATATCTTCTTTTCACAATCACGATGGAAAAAAGGACGAAAACTATCCTTCTTTTGTCGACGAATACAATGCTCCTTCAATACCATAAATACCGCTGGAGGCGTAATAATGCAGCATTTAAAAAAGACCCCAAAAGAAACGCGACTTTTAACTACCAAGATTACTTTCCCAATTTAAGAAGCCTCTCTCCTTCAATCTCGAAACTTCTAACCTCCACTCAAAGTTCGTTCCATCGATCGACTACTTCGCTTCGCGAACTTCGCCTTTTTTAAATAACCAATTTCCATCCTAGAATCTCTCAAAGCGTTGATGAAATAACCCTTGATGTCGATTAATTTTACGATAATTTCCACCTTTGTTCGCGTATCACAAGCATAAATAATGCAACGCAACGTTTCAAATTTAGGATTTCAAACGCGAATACCCGTCTGCTTGCTAACTTTTCAACCGAATTTCGCTCTCTCTCGTGAATTCATTCGTCACAATATTTAGGAAAGCGACGCATACAGAGTGGAGCATCGCCGGTTATTGCGACGTAACGAAATAACGCGAGCAATGGTGAACATTGTTAACCGATGCGCATTGCCGTTTTCAGGATATTCCGCCGCATGGAATTATCCTCTGCGGTTGAAAGACGTCTGCGAATTCTCGGTTTCGAGGATCTCTGGCGGAGGTCCTATTCGAATTTTCGAGGACTCGTTAAAATTACATTACGCTCAGATTTTCTTCGTTACTTCTCTCGCTACTTAGCTTCTGTATTTGTCGTGCCAAGTTCCAAAATAAGGTGTAAGGCCTTCTTGCGGAGCGGGGTACTGGTGAGACTGGGCACGGCAACCGGCTACTCTTTAGGAGTGCCAAAACGCCAACACCTTTCCGCTCCTTTTCCCCAACATCTCCTCGTCCATCCTAACCATTACCTTCCCTTACGATCCTTCGCCTGTAACAGGGTCAGAGCGCAGTACTTGCGTGTACTGGTGAGTCCGCCTTCCCGTGGTTCCCCGTGGATGCGGTGGCAGTCGACGTCGGGGTATTTGTTCGGTTTGACTGGCAACGTAACGAAAGGGCTCATCCGCTGAAAACGCTCAGCGGCGTGGCTGGATTTTTCCATCGCCCGATCTCGGGGCGGTGTCGAGCTAGTTGTGTAGATTTTCTGCTGAACGGAGGTATAAAACAGAAGTCTGAGGAACCCCAAAGTCCTTTTCAGGGCGGCAAACACTATATGTATTTGTCGTGCAATCTACATTCACCAGTGCAGGCGGCCCAAAACTGGAACCGTGGTAAATTCAAATCGGCCAGTAGGGCCATCCTGCTGAGACCAAGCATGGATGCTCGCAGCCCCGTGGCCCCCGCTGGTAGTTACCAGTTGGCAGGCTGCAAGACAGCCTGGAGCGTCGGCTAAGTGAGCTGCGTGCCGAAAGGGTAGATCCAACTTGTTCTGTGATCCGAAAGGTGAGAGCAGGGTTTTTCCAAGTCGCTCGCACTACATCAAAGCGCGTGTTCTCCTGGAAAGGGTTCCCAGAGAGTAGAGAAACCAACATCTTTTCGCGAAAGCCGGTATAGAGAAGAAGCTCGAGATACGGCGACGGTCGATCGTTTGGTCGAGCCTAATCACCGCACACAATACTTGTATATGTTGTGCAATTTATGCGAAGAAATAAGAAAATTTGTGTGGAGTACAGGTACGATCGTTAAATTTTGTTCGCTGTTTTTGTTGATTAAAGATTCACGATTTTGGGCCAGTGAATCGAAAGATTGTAGCTACACTTTAATTTATTTTCCAATTTGAGAAAAGTGTACGAATGAGAATGTCAGAAATGGTTCAAGAATGCAATTAAAGGATGACAAGAGGTTAGATTAGGTGTTTTAAAAAAATTGAACGGGTGTAAGTAAAAAAATCTTGAAAAGAAGGAGGAATCCTGGAAAATTTAACAATCCGAGGTTCAGAAAAACTCGAAGAAAAAACATAGAAAGTTCTCTAAAGTGAAATTAGGTTCGTTTATGTTAGCTTAAGTGATGGAAAAAAAAACTGAACGGGAGTAAATAACTTAAATAAATTTCACAGTCCAAAACTTACAAAAATTCTCCAAAGCAAAACGTACAAAAATCCTGAAAAAACCTCGTCTCTCCCTCGAATCTCGCTTCAGTAATCAAACCTAAAAATGACCAAACTCCTCTTCTCCCCAAAACCCACCATCCCCCTTCGAATTAGCATATTCAAAATAACCCAATCAAGATCAGCACTCAAACTCGAGGATCAGTACACGTCCAAAATCCATTGGTCCCTGGTCCCATTAGACGTAAGGGGAAAAAGAGACTGCGATATCAACGAGAATCCTCTTTGCTCTGGTAACGTTTGATCGACCGCAAACAATCTTTTTCCAGGTCCAACCCAGCGTGGAACCTTCAAATTTTCTTGGACGGTGTCGAAGAGAGAAGACGTCGAAGAAACGCCGGTGTTCCTCCACTCGGAACTCTTTAATCCCAGGATGGAATCCTTCATCTTAACGGCGGAGACATGCCCGTAGACGAAATCGATTCACGGACGGCGAACCGTCGTCCCGTGTACGGTATCCAATCCGTCAGGAGTCGCGGCTAATGCCTCGATCGTGTCCCACAGGATTATCCCCCGCGGAGGACGAAATCTGAGGGTGTACCATGGGTTAAGAAAACGAACCGTCACGTGAGCAGCTTTTGAGAAAAATTTACGTGGGTGTGAACAGACGGCGATAAAGTTGGCGATAGGGGAGAGACGAGAACAGGTATAGGAGGTGAAATTTGAGAGAAGAAGAGAGGATCTGCGTGGTTTTGAAAGCGGTCAATCTCCCAGAAGAATGCGTTACGCGTGGAAGCTTTTACCTTGAAGGAAAAGGTGTTCATGAATAATCGATCGGGTGAAGTGAATTTGCAGGGAAAGAAGAGAGGCGACTGGGGTGACTTGTGTGTACGCGTGTGTGTGGAGGGTTTAAACTGATTTATGGAATGCGAGGATCACGGGAGATCCACGAAGAGAAGATCTCCCTCGCGGGAGAGCAAGTCGTTAGGCGGATCGAGAAGTAGAGTGGAATGATCGTGAAAGGGATTAATGGATCACTGTGAAACAGAGGAGAATGCAGATTATGGGATTGACGAACGAAGGAAGAAACACGCGATCTGAAGATGATGAATACCGTCTTACAGTCGAATCAGACAATCCTTCGATAGGCTAATCTGTCTTTCTTAACACGCTCTCGGGATATTCTTCGTGGAATTTAGTTATTCCGACGAATAGATAGGGGAAGGAAGAAGGGAAATTGTTGAGAGAACCTTGAAAACGTCATCCAACAACGCAACATGCGGATCCTCAGTGGCGCACGTGCTCGAATGCATCCCTGGCGAATCATAAGTCAGCCGCGTATCCTTGACTCGTGAAGTTCCTGCGGAAAATACGAGCCCAACAGAGTAATTCACTGTTACGGAGGGGGAAAAAAAGGAAAATTCGTGCTCTACGGGAAGCTCTGATCCCTGCTGGGAATAACGACAGCCAATTCGACTGCGAGAGCGATAGGGAATTTTTGAATTTCACGCGGCACCGATATTGGGAATATTACAGCGATCGCGTTCCAGCTGATGGATATCGATCGGGGAATATTTATTGGCCAGTAATCAACGTTACATATCAGAATATTCCCAATTCTTATTAACGTGTTACAGAATCTGTAGGATTTAATTATTCGCTGAAATCGGAGCAGAAATATCGAATATCGAAGAAATCGAGTTAATAGAGAATTCAGATATTCCATGATGATTGGAAGAAATGTACAGTTTGCATGATAACAGAGCTGAAGTATTCTACCTCTAATTCCCCTGTAATCAGGAATAATCTATCAAGCTCATCTTCGCGAATTACTAACCTATACACTCAAACACAGACTTGACCATTCTCGACTGTAAGAAATTTCGTTGTTAAGACACCTTATAGCGACATTAATCACACGTCTCGTCACCATATCCATCACGTGGTACCAGCCTTCTTTACCAGACATTCAAGACAACATCCTTCACCGTCTCAACGGAGCGATGCGACCCAAAACCAAATCTTAGTCTTCACGCTGGATTGTCGCGACTTTCGAGAGAAATTGAAGCTCACACTTGAACAGAAAGCCAGAAGGAAGAGAAACAAGCTGTAAAAATCTCAGTAACAATGCAGCGAACCTTAAGAATGCGATGCTTCGCAACAACGAGGAATTCTTGCGCCGTATGAACTTGAATGCCACATTGTTACACTTGAAACGTATGTTAGGCCACATGACAACCATGAGCCGTTTAGACAATTACACGGACGTCTTGCTCAGCTGGAACATCACCGACGAAGACATAGATTACGTGAATAATTATAATATCAGCAATCTGGCAAAACCGGCCTGCTATTGCAACGGGACTGTACGAGATCTGGCAGTTAAATACAGGAATTATCACGGTTACGTAGCACTCGTGGTATGTCTGTTCGGCATGTTGGCCAATATGTTGAACTTTATCGTGCTGACAAGAAAAGACATGGTTACGACACCGATAAACAGTATCCTGACCGCCCTAGCTATGGCAGATGGCCTCGTGATGCTTGAATACATCCCGTTCGCGATTTACATGTACATCGTTCTACCAAAGAGGCAGATATTTCCTTACGCATGGGCGGTGTTCGTTCTCTTCCATATGCACTTCACGCAGCTCCTGCACACCATCAGCATCGCCATCACGCTCACGCTGGCCGTTTGGAGGTATATCGCGATTAGGTGAGTAGAATTCCGATCCACCGACCGCTTTTATTACACCGTGCAGACACGAATTTCAATTGCACCGACATATGGGTCTTCTGGTTGGTCCAACCGTGTCCAACTTAAGGGATCTTCTTTCTGTAACGGATTGAAAAAATCAATTGTTTTCTTTTTTCTTCGCATTTTCTCATAGCTTAACGTCTAGAAAGTATGTCTGTGAAGTTTGGAAGCTTAATTCTGGAGATTGGCAGAGATATATGCCTTCGAAGGAAACGGTCTTATACAGTTTTAAACGCGTTTTTAAGGATCTCCCTAGTGTAACGGGTTGAAAAAATCAATTGTTTTCTTTTTTCTTTGCATTTTCTCATAGCTTAACGTCTAGAAAGTATGTCTGTGAAGTTTGGAAGCTTAATTCTGGAGATTGGCAGAGATATATGCCTTCGAAGGAAACGGTCTTATACAGTTTTAAACGCGTTTTTAAGGATCTCCCTAGTGTAACGGGTTGAAAAAATCAATTGTTTTCTTTTTTTTGGCAGAGATATATGTCTTCGAAGGAAGCGGTCTTATATAGTCTCAACCCCGTTTTTAAGGATCTCCTTAGTGTAAAGGGTTGAAAAAATCAATTGTTTCCGTTTTTATTTGCATTTTCTCATAGCTTAACGTCTAGAAAGTATGTCTGTGAAGTTTGGAAGCTTAATTCTGGAAACTGGCAGAGATATATGCCTTCGAAGGAAGCGGTCTTATATAGTCTCAACCGCGTTTTTAAGGATCTCCCTAGTGTAACGGGTTGAAAAAATCAATTGTTTTCGTTTTTCTTTGCATTTTCTTATAGCTTAACGTCTAGAAAGTATGTCTGTGAAGTTTGGAAGCTTAATTCTGGAGATTGGCAGAGATATGTGCCTTCGAAGGAAGCGGTCTTGTATAGTCTTAAACGCGTTTTTCCTGAAACAGCATTTTTGCAACTGGCCGACATTATTACCAAAAAACCAGAAGTCCGATTCACTCGAAATTTGAAAGGTATATTCAATAGATGTTGCTTTATCGTCTGAACAAAAATTGTGCAAATATTTTTAGAATTCAGTATTTGCGGTAAAAAAATCCGTCATTTGTTTGGCTAAAATGGAAAGCAATTTCTTTGAAACCTTGCCGTTTATTTATTTCTCAATATTTTTTTATTATTCCTGTTCAGACGATAGCCACACGTCTACAGATTAAGAATATGTTTGCATTTTGCATTTTGGATAAGTCAGCCATCGGAAAGGATACTTTTCACAGGAGCTCTCTTCACGGTTCTCCTATTTTACGACAAATGTATATTTCCACTTATGAAAAATATTTTTGTGTTCTTAAAAGATGACAGAAAAGACGATAACAGTGATTTTCGCTGGATAGAAGATGAATGAAAAATATGCGAAGATTCGATTTTTACTTTTTCACAAGAAATTAAGTTTCTTTTGTTAAAACACTCTGCAGAAATCAGTTTGAAGCGAGTGAAAGACTCCGTGAGATAAAATTCCTCTCACCGGTAGATTTTAAGACAGATGGAAGTGGTAGATGGAATAAAAACGGGGAATTTTTGTATCTCGAGGCACGGCTGATAAAAGAGTATCTCTCAAGAGGAGTTTCGTCCAAAGTGATAAAAAGATCCGCTAAATCCTCAGGTATCTTGATCGACCTTACAACACCCGCGAGAATAACGATAAAAGCTTACGAATCACCCACTTGGAAAGAAATATAGAGAATATCGGTTGACGAGCGTTAATTACAAGATTCGATTGTATTGGTAAGACAATAAATTATAAAGGAAATATCGGTTTTCGATACGCTGTTTGTTTTTTTTTTTTTATTTCCATCACTCATCACGTGATTCTGCGTTCTCTTTATTACCGTAATACAAAAAAAAAAAAAACAAAGTTATATAGACGATTAATTTAATCGAACGGTTTATAAAACAGTTGTATCAGATTGCATCGTGCAAAATAAATAGCAATAAATGGAGACTTTAATCATTCATCCTCCAATTAGAAGAATTTTAAGATAAAAAATTTCAGGGCTATTTCTCAGAATTATCATTATTTACTCCTATTGCCAACAAGTGAAAAGTCACCCTATATGTAAAATCTTGCAAAATTTTACATTTATTTTTTTTCATTTTCACCGATCCCTGTATCAGACCCCAGAAATTATATCTAGATGTTCAGTGTCGGGACGATACAACTCGGAAACACCTTCACCGAGTCTCGCGAAATCTCAGCCGCCTCTATTGAGACTCCCCTGTCGTTAGCCCAGATCTCAGATAGTCTTGAAATATTTCTCCCATGAAGATCGTCAAAATGAGGAAGTCATTCGAGGTGTTGGTGTTCCTGGCATCGATAAATTTCCCTTGAAAATCGAGTTCCTTTACAGATGAAATTCCCATGGTTTAATCAATTCCGTGGTGTTTTATCGGGG